ATTTATTGAGTTGGAGAGATTTTTCAATATGACCATCACATAAGGTGGTACATCACGTGTCTCTATATAAATGGTGGGTTATGTGTGTTAAAAGGTTAATAACTTAAAAATTAAAATTTTGCACCACTTGCATAAAAACATGTGGTGTACTATCCGTATTCCCATCATAACTAAAAATTTCTCGTTGAGTTAAGGGCAATTCAATCCAAATGCCCAGGTATTTTAAGGTCCAGTGGACTTGTTCTAAGGGGCCTTTCTTTTTAAGTATATTTATTTGGGAAAATTATTATAATTTTGGAAGGCAAAGAAGCAACTCATTTCCTCTTCTATAAGATTGATTATCTCCAATCGAAAGGATTAAACATATCTCGTTCATAATTATAGTCCTACAAAAAAATATTTTTAAATGAACAGTGTCATGCCATATTCATATATCATCTTCAATCGAAGGGGCTAAACATAACCCCCTCAATAATTTATTAGTTTTTAGTTTATACTTTAAATTTATTGATTCATTTAATTAAACTACTATGAGATGTTTTCAAATCTAGTCATTAGTTTGGTTCAATTATTGCAATTGATTAGTTGGGCCCCAAAAAAAAAAGGGTAAGGCCGTCTCCAATAGAGATGGCTAAAGGTCCAAAAGCCAAAAAATAACTTGATTTACCCAAAAACTCATCTCCAACTGCAGGCTAGGCTATAATTTTATGGAGTCCACCGAACCATTATTTGGTCAAATGGGCATCAGGCTAGCCAAATGTAGCCCTCTTCTTAGCCTTTTTTGGGGGCCGAGCTCATTAGTTACAATAATTAGTTTAAATTCAACTGCTAGATTTGAAAAACATCCAAAGGTAATTTAACTAACTTAATTAATAAATTTAAAGTATAAACTTAAAACTAATAAATTATTGATGGGCTATATTTAGCCCCTTCAGTTGGAAATGGTATATAAGTATGGCCTAACACTGTTCATTTAAAATAATATTCTGCAAGCTTTAATTCTGGACGAGGCTATATTTAGCCCTTTTAGTTAGATACGACATAAGAGAGAGCTACATTTGGCTAGCCTTGTGCTTCTTTGGCTAAATAATGGTTGGTGGGCTCCATAAAATTATAATCCAATCATCGGTTGGAGATAAAAATTTTAACAAATCAGATCATTTTTTAACTTTTGAACCTAAAAGGTCCACTTCTCATTTGTAAGATCCAAAAAGCAACTCTTGTTACTTATGAATAATACTTTTATACACACTAAAAAACAATAAAAAGTTATGCTTTATTTTTTTATTTTTCATTTCTGTTTCTGGACTCAAGTGAAATTAAATTGTGAGTGCATACGAAAATGCCACATTACAGATTTTCTCAACACTCCCTACCATCATCTTATCATGTATGTTCTGCTCACATAATCTAACCCTAATTTTTGTCGTCTACACAATCTTTTTTTATCACCACCATCATCTTTGTGTTTTTAAAGAAAATCAATAGACAAAAATTACTAAAAATATGTGAGAAGTAAAAAAAAACATTCGTTAATAGCACTACTTTTTCTTTTCTCTTCTTTTCATTTCCTCCTGACCACGACTGCTGATCTATAAGGCAAGACTAGAGACCACTTGTCCATCAGATATCAGGAAAAAAAGAAGGGACAAACTTTGGACCAAGTGGTGGCAAACATAAAGGGTCAATTTGGCCCATTACTTGTCTAGGGTTAGCCATGCAAAACCAAAACTAGGGTTGCCATCAAGTCATTGCATGTTCTAAAACCTCTCGATCGATCGAGATGGTGCATGCAGCTATCCGTTTTCTATTTCTTCAACATTGATGGAGTGCTAATTAAACCAACCATCATGCCTTGTTGGTTGGCCAGGGCTCTCACCGCCACCGACCCTCCGTTCATCGATTGGCCGTGTTTCCTCCCCCTATCATACCCTATCATGGACGACATCAAGGTGGCCATGTGCCACTTGTGTTGTTCATTCCTTTATTTAGTGATGTTACTTTGAGACTAGTTGCCTAATTATTATCATTTGGGAAATGCTAATTGCATCTCCCTAACTACTACGTGAAACAAAGAATATATATAAACAAATATATCATGAAAGAAAGAGTATTTATAAACTAGTAATAAAGTTAATTAGAGTAATGATTCTTGAACTGTAGTCTAATTGGGGGTTTGGGGTTTGTGAGTATTGGACACTTAACTTATTTTAATGTACAACAATGGTCATTTTGGGTAACTTTGTTAATTCTATTAGAATGTGTGTTCATATTTTCCCCATTATACCCTTTATTTTGGATGAAATTTTCAACGGTGTTACTCAAATTGAACTTTACTCCATATTGAGACAAATTCAAAGACTAAAATTTATGATTGTTAGTTCAATGACTAAGGTTCCAATTGGCCAAGGACGTTTGAGTGAGTTATTTCGGCTGCATGCTTTCTTTCCTTTAAATGAAAATTAGATTAGAACCTTAGAGTCTTAATTCATTATTTAATAAAACTTACTATTTTTTTTATGTGTGGTGATCAAGTAGTTATTTAATTTATAGGAATCAAATCAATATCCTAAGAATGAATTTTGACTTTGATAAGATTTAATCGTAGAAAAACCCAAGGACCAATGTCCCAAAAAATTTCATAATAGTAATTATTCATTTGCTACGTTTAAGTTTTTAAAATCAAATACCTTCTCCTTGTAACCGACATTACATTGCACGTGTACTGTGTGTGTCATTTGCTGTTTAGCGTCTTTTGGCGGGAGGCTAACTTTATCGGTTATGCATTAGCCACTTATGACCACTCTATCAACTTCTATGTACAGTAATTAATAATTTGCACCTCTTTGTATACCATGCTTTCTGTTCTGGTGACCCTGTGACTCTATTCTACACCGACAAATATTGTTTACATAAACTATCCCGTCCACGTGCAATACACATTCCCTTCTCATTAGTTATCATTTTTTTTTTTATTAACACATTATTAATAAGGAACACAAAAAGAAAATGATTTTTTTAAGAGTCGTGCATTATCAGTCATTCATGTATGTAGATTCTACCTTGTATATTGAGTACAATAAAAATAAGGGAGCCTTAATGAAAAATTCTCGGTATTGTTCATTTTAACGAAAAACCACATTTTTACACTAAAAAGTCAATTCTAGTACTATTCACTTTACTCTTTACTTTGTCATTTTCGTTAAAACTCAAAATTTTCAAACCATTTTCATTATTTTTCTTTAAAAATAATGAGTAATGGTGATTCAGTAGAGTGTCGATAACTATTGAAAGTAAATTTCATGTCCTTTAATTGAATAACCAAATCAAAGAGACACAAAAACCACAAACACACCTAAGAAATACAAGAATAAAGCATTACCTTACATTTTCCAACTAAAATCAGGGGGGTCTAGAATTAGAAAATGTATCCGCTCATAACTAAGTAATAACACCATGTAACGTTATGATTATATGCAGTGGCGAAGTCACATAAAGGCTAGATAAGACTTGGGCCATCCTGAAATTTGACAAATATATATATGTATAGTTTGCTAATGTTTATAGTAAATAGCTTGTAATGCATTGGGAAGTGGAGTTTGATTGTTTTTATGGGACCATGGGGTTCTAAATTCGTTGATGTCAACAACCCTCTGTTTTTTTTGTGAACTAAACCCCTTTTGTTTTACCATATAAAAACTAGTTTTTTTTTAGCTCATATAGAACAAGGTCTATCTAACGTAGAAGAAGATTCCTTTTGTTTCATCATATGAAAACAAATTCTTTTTTTGTTCAGTTCACCTAAAGATAAGGTCTATCTAATGTAGAAGAAGATTCAATTGTGTTGAAAGGATTTGTTCTACCATATGAAAACTAATTCCATTATTTTTCTGTTTATATAAAACAAAGTTTGTAAACCTTATAATTAGTCTTATGTTTTATCGTATAAAATCTAATTCTTTTTTTTTTTGTTCAGTTCATATCAACAAGGTCTATCTAATTTAAAAGAAGATTCAATTATGTTGAAAGAAAAATCTCATGGTAATAGTTTTGCGTTATGAACTTAAATTTTTGTTTGAATCTTCATTTTCATTAAAACTCGTAAACAAGTTATGTTCTTATGAAATAATTATCTCAATACTGATTTTTTCAAAAAAAAGGTTTAACGCCCCATCACTCTTGTTTGATAAATTTTCTATGCCAATAAAAAAAAAACATAAATATTTCTCCAATTAATTATATTGCTATATTTGGTTTACTTTCTTTTATGTCTTAAAAGACCCCTTTTGAGAGCAATTTTTGGCTTTGCCACCACTGATCATACGAAATTCTTCTAAATTATGTTTTTAGAAAACATTCTTAACTGCAAATATGGTCAATCACTTATAATAAGGAAAACTAATGAAAAAGGTTTGAAAACTTTGAGTTTTAACGATAAAGACAAGATAAAAGGTAAAGCGAATAGTACCAGAAGTAATTTTTTAGTATAAAAATATGATTTTTCGTTAAAGTGAACAGTACCGTGACATTTCGTTAAAACTCTCGTAATAATATTCTTTCTATTTGGAATTAAGAATGTAGTGAAATGCCGCCTATAAACATGGTCACTGACTTAATTATGACAGCCACAGCCCATAGGGATAATCACACTGATTAGTAGTCAATTAGTCCTTAATTACAATATACTAGTGGATTACAATCATAAGCCACACCCACCGCTTCCTCTCTCTTTCCTAATTTTAGCACGTGCCACTTGTGTAATTCTGGCGACTGTTGCAAGACGGTGACGCACGCTCAGTAACCCGCACGCAAGAGCAAAGCACATGGCCCATCCCTAGACACCCCACCATTCACGGCCCAGATTCCAGTGGGACGCACGTAATCACAATGTCGCAGACGGCGACCCCCATCGATATTTCTCACAGCCGAAACAAAAGCTTCCACCTAAGCCCTTGCCAATTAAAGACATTTCTCTCTCTATAAATCGACCCACTCGGCATTTTCTCTCTCTGCTCAAGAGAAACACGACCTGGTTAGTGGTTGCTCTCTCTCTAGAAAACGTTCCCCTTCTCTCTCTCTAAAACGCTTCCATGGGCTTCCCAGTGGGATACACAGAGGTCTTCATCTTGCCCAACCTCTTTCTCCACACTCTTTCTCTCCTCGGTTTCATCCGAAACCTCATTTTCGCGCTCTTCCACTTTCTGGGTCTCTCCGAATTTCTCGAAACCGACGTTGTTTGGCCGGAGACCCGGTCCCACCTGCCGGAAAACCCATCCGCGTCGGCCCTCCTGATCCGGGAATTTCTCCCCGTCGTCAAATTCCGCGACGTAGCCGGAGACCCGCCTGAGAGCTGCGCCGTTTGTCTGTACGAGTTCGAGGTGGAGGACGAGATCAGGTGCTTGACGAATTGCAAGCACATTTTTCACCGGGCGTGCTTGGACAGTTGGATGGACCACGACCAGAAGACCTGTCCGCTTTGTAGGATGGCCTTCGTGCCCGATGAGATGAGCGAGGAGTTTAATCAACGGCTCTGGGCCGCCTCCGAGATTCACCAAGATTATTACAGTGAGTACACATGAAAATTTCACCATGTAATGTATATACACATGAAAATTTGGTGCCAAATAAATAAAATTTGATGCCAAATTTGAAGAAGAAAAAGAAAAACAGGGAAAGGAGAGAAAATTTTGGATAATTTCTCTCTTTTGTGTTTGTATATTTTGATATTGGAAATACAAATGCTACATGATTCTCCATCTTTGACTACCCATTGGGTGCAAAGGGGCAGCAATGCCAATTAGAGCACGACGTCGACTACCCATTGATCGATGGCAGGGGCAAGGGACAAGGAACATGCTCTCTGACCCAAAAACCCTCCTCCAGCGCCAGCGGGTTAAATTGGCAAGAGCAAGTGGTGAGCCTAGCACTGCTCCGCCCAAAAGCCCGAGTATCAGCGGGCATGTACCGACGTCACGCTCGCGTCAGCTGTCACCGGCGGGGCCGCGGCCAAAAAGCACAGCAAAGCGATAGAATCCTCTTCCAAAATCAACCCACGAGCCACATCAAGAAAAACGCTCAACTTCTTTCAAACCATAAGTTCTAGGCGCTTTCGATCCAGTGACGCCTTTTAGAGGCCTCTATTCCGACCGTGATTTTGTTGGAAGATCCATGGGCTGTCCATGGTGGGACTAGAAGAGGGTTTTTTCTTTTTTCTGTTTTTGCCAATTTTCCACACAAACTCTAATTTTAATATAGGGGTGTCATTTCTGTCAATTTTCATTGAAAATTCTATCAAAACTCATCATTTGTTGCACACTTGATCAACTTTTCATGCGTACTTTAACCACTCTAAGTCCTCTCGGCGTTGAGTTGTTCTACGACCGACGTTGATTCAAACCTCATCGACGATTAATTTAATAGAAGTTATCATTTGACCAAAAAAAAAAAAAGACCTTTTGGTGGTCTGGGATAAAAATTTCGTTGACTGCATAAAAATTTCGTTGACTGCATAAAAATTTCGTTGACTGCAACTTATTTTCGAGGAGGCAGAATAAATGTTTCACAAACTTTAGTCAACAGAATTCTTACTCAGTCACCAAGGGTCATTAGGTGAAAAAATACCTTTGAAAAAGGTCTTACATATGTTGATGATAAGTTTCGACTAAAATTTTAACGAAATGTCATAGGGGTTGTATATTCACATTAATTGGAAAAAAAAACATGTAATGTGTTACTAATAGAAAAAATATATATTAATCAACATTTAAGTAATAATCCAATCATTGACAACCACGTCATATGATTTATAAAATTTGGTCTAAAAATTGGTTTCCCTCGTACTATCCATTCACATTAGAGCATGAGTATGGATGATGAATTTGCAAGATTTTAAGTTTTGGTGGTATTTGCGCACACTTCTAATAATTCAGATAGTAATTGTTTAGACTAAAATCAGGCATTGGGCTTGGCCAAAGCCCAATTCTTTAAAATTCAGTTGGTTTGCTTGTTGGTATTTAGTTTTAATACAGATGAGCAATAAGCAGCCCAAAGTTTAAAAATGCTTTTGACCTGGTATGTTTAGGCGGCAAGATCACCCTTGTTCACACTGAAAGAAGAGATTTGTAGTTGGATTTGCAAAGAAAAATACTTTTAGTGGAAAACCTGTAGATAGAGGAGGATCAAAGCTCAAGTATCCAAGTGGGAGTCATTCTTTGACAAAATTACATCAACCACTTGAGCCAGAATTGAGAACTTACTTTGGAAGAAAGAGGCAATTTCTATAAAAGGGCAACTGAGAGATTGAAGAAAGGACACTCAACTCAACATACAAAAAAAGACTTTTAAAAGCTATGCAACCTACCTTTCATATATTCCTTTGTAGTTCAAACATTCCTTTATATTTATAACTTTGCTACTTCCCTTTGTAGTATCCATTTCATGTATTAAAGTTTCCTTTTCAAAACATGTCGTATACTTGCGAGACCTTGCCTGACTGGTATCTGAACTTGCCTGAATAGGTTAAACATTGCCCGATTGGTTGTATTTGTCATTTATTTTCCAGTTATTGTTCTTTCATGCAGTTTATTGTCCTTGTGACTAACAATTACAAGTATTTGCAAACTCTTTACTTTAAGCATTTTACTTTTTCTCCGTCTCGCTTTACTTTATGTCTTTACTTTTTTCACAAAGATTGCAAATTAGCTTGGACCATTTCTGATCAGTCTATGGTCGTATTTTGACATTCAACATAAGGAGAATATAAAGTCCTTGTTCTCAAGGCAAAGAAAAGAACCTAATGTGGATTTAACTCTTCCATAGAACAGTCTTTTGATACAAAGCTGAATTTACTTGTGACACAAGCAAATGACCTATAAACATTTAAACTAATTAAACAATTTGTTGATCTTGGCTAGCAGTGGCACGCTTAACAACAACTAACTGTGTAAGAGAACCTAAGAGCCTATTCAAGGCTTTGCCAAGGCACCTTCAATTAACTCAATGTCTAACACTCATGCAAGGGAGTTGTGTGAGGATCTAGCACCCCAACAGTGATTATAGAATTTTCACTTTTATAGTTTAGTCGACCTTTTTAAAGTGTCAATAAACAATTTCTTCACTTTTTATAACTACGTGGTCGCGGTTGAATTTAGGGAGTATAGAGGTTTTTTGATGTTGTTGGGCAGCTGGCAAGGCAGCCAATCGAATTATTCAGATCTTGTCAAAGCCAGTGCTATAATGGCTTGATTAAGTAAAATAAGAGCATCAGATGATATAAAATAACTAAAATTCTATTTTAAAGAGCTAAATTTAAAAAAGACATCTTTAACAGGCTCAATAAAAAAACTTCTATTATAACAAAATGAACAATCACTCCTTAAATTTACAGAGCAACTACTCATCAGAGAAAAGGTTGTTTTAAATAATGAGTGAGTGAATTGTCAATAATAAAACATCATGTAAAAGTAGAGTGTTGTTAGAGATAAAAAGTTAAATTGAGTAACTAAAATAGTTTTGAACACATTTCACTTGCTAGTTTAGCAAAGGAGATGCTCTAAGATTCAACTATATTTTTGTTAACACATTGGAATTTAATTGCTGACAATAGGGGTGGTTCGGTATGGGATACCATACCGAAACTAGTATCCCGAATCCCAAATCGAAATTTTTCGGGACGGGAATTTGAAGACCAATCCCAAACCAAATTTTCGGGAATCCCAAATTTCGGGAATCCCGAAATATTTTCGGGATTTTGGGACAAATCGGGAATCCCAAATTGAAATATGAAATTATGAATTGTTCTTCAAATATATAATTCAAGAACACATTTATGAACTAGGAATTTCATTTCATTCACACTACCATTTAATTGAACATTGGCATGCTTGACTCTTTTTATCATAGTCAAAATTCAAATTAATTAAACTCTTTTTGCAATCTGTTGAGAGACAAAAGAATCAAGTCTTCTGAAATCATCAGCCATGGCAGCAGCAATAATAAAATCCACATGAATATCAAACAAAACATGAAAAATATGCAAGGTGTAGGGCATTCTCAGTTGCTGAGCATGAATTAGAAACTACTAGCATCAATTATAAAAGAATAATATATATATATGTATAAATATATATAATAATTAATATTATATATTTTCGGTTTGGTATGGGATTCCCGAAATATCGAGAAGCCAATCCTGAATCCCATACCGAAATTTTGGGATTGGTTCGGGATAGCATCCCGAAAATTTCGGGAATTTCGGTTTGGGAAATTTTTGGTTTGGGATCGGGATTTTTTCGGTTCGGTTCGGGATTTTCGGGAATTTTTTCCACCCCTAGCTGACAACCATCAATTTTGGATAATGTATACTCTTTTTTTATGGGCATGAAATCTTACAGATGTGTTTGAATATCATTTGCAAAGTTTGGGCAACATGACTGATGATGGTTCACCTAATACTTGCACTCGTCTACTTTGAGTAATTAATCACAAGTTGATTGGTATTAGTGTAAATTGCTTATTCATTAAGAGAAATTCTAAGGAGATTTTCTTAAAAATGGGACTCTCCTTGATCTTTTTGGCATCTCATGTTTTTAGCAGTGTTTTATAATTTTGGTACGAAAATTAACATTAATTGTGGAGTGTCAGAAAGTTTATGGAGAATCTCACTTGAAGAAAGTCCTCTTACCATCTCTTATCCATTAAAATTTTAATTTTTTTATGAAAGTGAAATTTATGATTATCACATGTTTAATAACCCTTCATTATCGAGAATATAATATTCATTTCATCTGTTCTTCCTTGACATCATCATAGCATCCTCCTCGGTCCGCGGCAAAGAAAAGAAACTCTTTACAACAACGAAATAAATGTTTTTAATATAAGCCATCATAGGTTTAGTTAAATTAGTTATGCTCTTACGTATGTGTGCACACAAGTTTGAATTTTCTTATTGTAACTTAGGTTGTCACTCGAATAAATTGTTTTGTTACTATCCCTTGAAAGTAAAAGTATATTATGAAAATAACTATTAAAAAAGAGAGTTGTTATTGTCACTAATTTGTTAGTGCCTTATTAACAACACATTAAGGACTCTTCAAAGTCATGTTTTATTTTTTGGATAGGTGTTTTCTATTCTATGGCGGATCGGATTTTCTTATTGTAATTTAGGTTGTCACTGGAATAAATTGTTTTGTTACTATCCCTTGAAAGTAAAAGTATATTATGAAAATAACTATTAAAAAAGAGAGTTGTTATTGTCACTAACTTGTTAGTGCTTTATTAACAACATATTAAGGACTCTTCAAAGTCATGTTTTATTTTTTGGATAGGTGTTTTCTATTCTATGGCAGATCGGTCTGCATTGTACGAACAGATCACTTGGGAGGATCGGTACCGGTGCGGCTAAGAGGAGAAGGTTGAGGATAAGCCTCCTGATGAGAAATCGGTGGAGGACCTGGAGGATATGGAGGAGCAGATGCAGATTCTGGAGTATAGCCAGGAGGTGGAGGAGGAGGTCCGGGGTTATAAAATTCTCCCGACTCTGGAGGAGGATGCGCAGAAGGTGGAGGCCCTGGAGGATATACTGGTTGCCCATATGCCGGTGGATGCATATATCCAACTGGCTGATGATGTCCACACCCTGCATGTTGATTTGGATACCCTGCATGTTGGTTTGGATACCCTGGATGTTGGTTCGGATATCCCGCGGGAGGATATCCTGGCGGTTGATTTGGATATCCTGCCGGTGGAGTTGGATATCCTACCGGTTGATTTGGATATCCTGTTGGTGGAGGTGGATATCCAGCGTGTGGATGTTTATATCCGGCATGAGGAGAAACTGGCTGATCAATCCGTGACATCTGCTGCATCGGTGGAACTGCCATCACGCGTGGTTGACCAAGCTTGCCATCCCTTTTGTCCAGTTCAATCTTGTGCTGGGTCTGCATAACCCCAAATCAATGTTTGTTTGCTATGATAGAGATTAATCGCCATGAAATTCGGGTTCTATCAAGTGCACCACTAATATAGGGTTGGAGATGAGGTTTTTAGTATCTTCGAGCAAAAGGGTTCAGGAATTACAGTTCACATTTCATTGGTTTATCAAAATTCATATATCAACTTATATAATGCACTGATCACTAATTTATTACATACCTGCATGCAAGCACAGACCCTGAAAAAACAAAACAAGTCAAAGAATCAATAGAAAAGAGGTAACGAGCTCCGGAATGAATGTGTTGAAGAGGGTGGAATGAAGGCCTTACGAGCAGAACACCATGTCAGCTATACAGTTCAACACACTGGAAATATCCGAGAGCTCTTCGCTTCCAGTTAAGCAAGCAATCAAGGAGCATATACATGCAAGTTGGTTGAGGCAGAGCATACATCCCTACAAAGAAACGTCATATGTTGAAGTGATAAGGATATCATAAAATGTGTAGACAGAGAAAAAGCTGTAAACAGAAACATAGAGATGGGAGATTACAATAATGCAATTGTCGCACGGTGTTGTTTGAATATTAAACTCATCTTGGATTAGAAAGCGTGTCGAGGAAACTGAACTTGCAAAGCAGCAGCAGACCTGAAAACAACAAAGTATGCAAACATATATAAAGTAAAAGTTCATGGATGTCCATGTCTAGAAAAATGCAGTAATAGAGCGCAGAAGGCGACATGGATCGCTAAATGTGTAAATCACAAAAAAAAAAAAAAAAAAAAAAAAAAAAAAAAAAAAAAAAAAAAAAACAATGTGATTAATACCTCCGTAAGAAGACACAGCTGAGGGCAACGCCTTTCTCCAAACTTTCCACTGCATGGCATATATCCGGCACAGCATGTGTACCTGTGAAACAGACCATTGCAAAACTAGTGTTCAGAAATTGCAATCTTTCTATTTTGATCCGGAATATCTAGAAATGAACGTAATTATTAGTTTACCTTGACATATCATTGTAAAGAGCTCGTTTGCGCAGCAGGTAAGAAACGCACGGACCACTATCATGTAACGAAGACAAATTAGATTGCAGGATGCAAGAAACAAACCATCTCTCTTTAATACACAAGACTGAGTACAGAAAAATTGAAAAGAGCAACCGTATCGCTGGTACCAAAGTGTCACGATGAACTCGTTTATACGAGAACATCATTCTAAACAATTTACAGCAAAAGTAGAAACATATCGAATCAATAAATGAGCTAAATGCAACAATTTAAGAATGCACCGCAGAGATATAAGAGTGCTTACCAGAGACATGCAAAGCAAAAGTCTGCATAACAAACACAAGAAAACAAGATTATATTTCGCGTCAGATCATATGAACGTAAAAAAAGAAATACCTAAATGAAAATTAAATAAAATCCCCATCCCATCTGCATGGAGCCTCTCAGACTCGGTAGGTTTTCTCAGTGATACTCAAATCGTTTTTTAACGCATTAATGTTCTTATAAATAAAATCATCAAATAGTAAACATGCCGCAAAGAACGAAATTCCAATCAAAGGAGCAGACACGAACCGATTCAAAACAGAAACAAAGAAAGTCCTGTATTTTTTTCCTCACATTCTCGGCAACCAAACAGAAACTAAACAACAAGGTACATCAAACTGGTACAAACTGATACTTACAGGGACTGTCGGTGGTCGCGGTGCCCATCAAATCGGCGTGCCATAGATTCCGGTACCCCTGACGGGCCTGCATTTTCCCCACCTGGTCTTGAATCCCCATTTTCTCTCGATCCAAACAAGCCTCAAAACTTTCCGAGAAAGAAAACTCAACGCAATGTGATCGAAACGAGAGAAATCTCAAACAAAAGAACACATGCAGAGAGGATTTGTGGCGAAATTGAAGCGTTGATTTCAATAATTTCGAAGAGTGATTACGTTTTTTGATGTATGCGTATATGCAGGTAAAAGCGAGTGGATGCCGGATATGAGCGAGGTGAAATTACGTTCGAGGAGCTGAAGAGAATGTGTGAGGGGTGGACAGCTGGTGTTTGCTATGTCTAATTGTGTAATTTTATCATCGTTGTGCAGTTAAAGGACACTAGTGCTAATTTTCTTTAGAGTTTGATATCGGTTTATCAAATAAAATACTGTAAAGATTTATAGAAATAAAATAAATTATTGTTTGTAAATCAGAAAACTAAACATGTCTATAGGAGGTTTTAGTTCGCTTGTTAAGAGTAGTTGTATATCTTGTGATAAATGGTTCAGTGGATTTTCTCCATGTGAAAAGTGATTTTTTAGCAATACTTTGGAAATACCCAAAAGTTTTATTTTCTTTCTAAAACCATCTGAAATAATTCATAACAATTGTTGAGGCTCAAAAATGTAAGATACCAAATAATTTAGTGAATTTTCTCTTCAGAGTTGCACATTGGTTCCCATACCCCAGCTCGGCATCAACCCAATTGGCCCAACTGGTGGCTTCACTGCAAGAAAACTCAAAGTGGAGTGGCACCATAGGGAACCGACTACTCTCTATGCAACATCTCGAAATACACTTAGGATCGACAAGAGGAACCGAGTCTAGAGAAGGTTCTTCTTCCTTGAAAGCCTTATTCTGGAAGCTGAGAAGAGGTGGTGGCCTACCTCGCTGGAGTCAATCCTCGCTCGAGAAAGACCCATCCACCACTGCAAGTACTTTAAAGAGTCCAAAGCCATAACGTACCTGTAAAGGAACGAACAACAAGCTATAAATACCACGACCCATCACATGGGCAAGTGGAAGAGAAGAATGGTGATGCATGAAGCAAAAATTTACCAAGGAAAGCAGGTAAACATGCTGCGGCAAAGTGAGATCCCTAAAGTTCAAGCACACGCATGCTAAAGCCTAAGGCTTTAACATGGGACTAGCTTTTCTCATTCTATCACGCAAAACACACATATTTTTCCCTGCTCATGCCATGCCAACAATAAAAGAAAGGAATTCTAGCTCGGAAAAGCACGATATACTAATGTCCATGCAAAAGCAAGCTATATGCCATCAAGCAACCATGCGAAGCAAAACAATGCACTGGAATTAATCCCACTCGAATAAGCACCAACAAGCAATCAAGCCGAGCTCTGAACCAATCGCACAATACGCATGAAAGGCAAGAAAAAAACCACAAGGGGCAAGCACACGGAGTTCCAAAATCGAAGGCTACTGAGGAGTGTGAATTAATTTCCCTAGGGAAAGATCATACCCCTCTTCTATGAAGAGCAAAACCTGAAAATTCCTTAAGTGCGCAAAAAAAAGAAAGAAAGCAAGAAAGCATGCTCATATTCACCATCAAAACCGATAGAGAAGACAAGGAAATAGGAAAAATTCAAAAGTAAGAGAAGGTGATTTTTGACACGCCTTGATCCTGGTGTTTGAAGGACAATGGGAAGGCCACGTGCCAGCTGACACCCGAGGGTGACGCACGACATTTAATGAATACATATGCCGAGAACATGTGAAACATGCATATAATTTTCACGCGTAACCACACAATATAATATCCAAATACAAACCTTAACAAAATAATAGTAATAAGGTACGGGTCACTGGACCAAAGGAGAATATTCAACTGCCAACAATTTAAAAGTGATAATGCATGACATGTTTAGAGCATACTACTAATTAAGATTACAAAGAAAGGGGTCATAGATCGAGAAGACTCGAAGATACTGATATGGGAATGCCTCATCGCCAAGATCAATTGCACACCTCATTTCTAAGTCCTGAAGGGGGCGCAAAAACAAAACATGAGTGGACTAAGTTTTATATAAATAATACTAAAGTCAACTACTCTTCAAACGTACTAACCCCTAGATTTTAGAAAACTCATATAGCATAATAGATAGTAAGTTTTCTGAAAACCCTAGCATGCCATAAAACCTTCGTAAAACATATATCATATATAGTGGGCTTAGTAGTGATATCATAATCGCCCGAAGGCACTACATCGCCCACCCGAAGGTACATATATCATATGCCCGAAGGCACTACATCGTCCTCTCGAAGGCACATTGTATGAATATCCACTAAGTAAACACAGAAAATCATAAACATAATCTTTCAAAATATATATCCTCGGAGCTCAATAGCTCAAACATCATATCATAAATCCATGTTTATGAATATTTCAGTAAACATAAATTCGATAAAGCATGATATTTCATAAAGCGTAAATCTGATTTACTCATAAACGCTTCATAAAACATAGTAATAAAATCATGTTTTTCATGTATGCATTTCTAGTAATAAAATTATGCATTTGGGAACGGGTCCACTCATAGATACTTCGTCGCCAAAAAGCCGTTCGAACTAGGGAGGATGGAAACGCCACTAACAAATGCACCTAAGCCTATAAAGGGACCAATTAATTAAACTCTATTAAAATGATTGAATTTGGGAAAACGGAGCGTGGATTTGGAATCAAGACGTGAAAATTAGTCTAGGAGGGGTCCCGACCGAAACCCAAAAAAAAGTCAATGCTGACCAAGAAGTTAGCGGCTGACTCAGCTAAGTCGAGTCAAGCTGTCGAAGCTCACCAAAAACTGGAATTTTTGGCCGAAAGTCTGGGCAAATTTCAAAGCTTTGTAACTTTGTCTTTCTTAACCAAATTCGGCCCATAATATATCAAAACGAAGATAGGAAAGTGTAGAACAAGATTATACCATTTGGAAGCCCAATGCCGAAGATGGCCAAAAAATGGCCTGAAAGGTCACTGGTCCGTAGGAAAACTGGGGAACTCGCCGGTAACTGGGGAACTTGCCGGAAACTGGGTAAACTTTAAACATTCATAACTTCTTCAATGCTCAAAGAAATCAAGTGATTCAAAACGAAAATCATACTTCCCGATGAGATGAAAAGAATGGTACCTGACAACTAACTTGCTGTGGTTTTGGCCAGAAAATGGCTCAAAAGTGGCAGTCTGTTGGAAATGTGCCCTAAAGCCAATCATATGATGATACTTTACGAACATTTCACATGTTAAACTAATCTAGTTTAATATAAAAGGCAAAGATTATTGTTTAAAGCTGTCTTATATAAATGTTATATGCTCAAACGATAAGTCCAAGGAATATGTAATTGGGAGAATGTGATCTAAAGAAGTTATATTCATGAGACCATTCTCTTTTGTATACATATCCTAAACGTTCTTGATCATAGGATTGCCAATTGGGCATTGACAGTTCGTTAAGATTAGTACGTGTTATGTCTTCTCTTAGGGAGAGTGATTGGTCTTGAGTCATTGGTGTGACTAACACCAAGACAAGCATGTGGGTGCTCAATAGAGAATGAGTCCACTGAACGCGATCAACAAGGAGTTCTCATACTCATGTCACATGAGAACTCATGGTTGGGATAATGCAAAATAGTCCTTTGACCTGAGGCATCATAGCTGTCTTGTGGTTAGGTCCTTGATCTTTGACTATGTCAAAGTCACTCCATCAAAGGGTGTCCATGGCATAGTTAGGGTTAAGCCATTTAGCCATGGAGGCAAGTGAATGCACAACAAGGGATCTCTAACCTTCAAACCGTTTGAAGGAGAATACTCTATAATATGATTAAGAATCTTTGGCCAAAGTATGAATGAGATTTAGGAAGTTGTTCCCAAATCACATTCAAGGTAATCATATAAGTAAAAAAATCACATTGGATAGTAGACACGAATAAACTATCAAACCGAACAATGTGGTCAAGAGTATTGTATTAGAGAAAGACCATATTGCATTGTAATCCTAAACTGAATAGTTCTCCACCTCTTCTGATTAGCTTGGGTAGCCATGATATACTACTATGTGTCATTCATGGTTTGTGGAAGCCCTAAAGGTGTATAATCACTAAAGGGAGAATTGAAAGTATGTTTCAATTCACAATCGATTTGAAGAGTTCGAATCACCCACTGCCTCACTAAAAGGAACCTAATAGATCGTACACCGTGTAAGGTAGAGATTGAATAAACAACGGAGATGAGTAAGGATAATTAAATGGTTTAATTATTTATGGCTAGGATTAATTAATATGTCAATTAATCAAACGAATAAGTTCATTTTAGCTTTTGAGTAATTATTCGACCTCAAGGCCTATTGGGCTTAGAACCGTCAAGCCCATTAACTTAAGTTGTATGACAACTTAATGACTAAAAACTCAAAAGGGCCCAAACAGCCTAAAGCCTTTAAAAGGCCGGCCATATTGTAAATGAATGGGTTTTGGTTCTTTTTGTCACTTAAGTGAAGTGACTATATAGAGGATTTGATAGTCAAAAGTTCATTAGGGTTTTCTAGAGAGAAAAAATGAGAACACATAGCTCTCTCTTCTCTTAGGAGGCCAGCCACCCTAGAGGAAAATAGCTAGCAATCTTTCGTCCTTAAGGGTACAACAGGTTTGGGCTTGTTCTACACCCACGAATCCTCGAGAGGAGCCGCCGCCCCCTTCAGTCCTTAGGTTAATTCTCGCCTTGTTAGTTATGTAGATGCTGGTTATCTGTTTGACCCACATAGGGCACATTCTCAAACAGGCTATGTCTTTACCGTTAGAGACATCGCAATATCTTGGAGGTCTACCAAGAAAACACTAGTTGCGACTTCTTCGAAAGCCTCGCATGAGTGCTTTTAGTTGAGAGCAATCATGGAACACATTTGAAGTTGTTAACCTTTCTACGACAATCTTTGAAGACAATGCAGCATGTATCGAGCAGTTAAAGAATGGATACATTAAGGGAGACAACACCAAGCATATAGCGCCGAAGTTCTTTTACCCTCACCAGCAACAACAACATCAGAACATTGAAGTCAAGAAAATCCGTTCCCAGGACAAACTGGCAGATCTCTTCACTAAGTCATTATCCAAGTCTACTTTTCAT